GTTTATTTTTATTGGCAATGTCGGTCGTTCGCGCCAACAATACATTTTGATGGCGGCCTTTAACTATTCTATACAGATGTTTCAAGTTTCAACTCAATAAACTTAATAAGTAATTAGTATTGCTAACTATATTTTTATTTGATGTAACCGCATATATTCGTTAGGTCGTTTAAACTCGAGGTTAAAAAATACTTAATAGAATATTTTAACGGGTTGACCGGACTGCCGAGAAGTTTCTCGTTAGCACAACATTAATACCGATGATAATAATTTAACAGACTTGCATTAGAACAGTAGGGAATGTGGAGGGTGGCGGCGATGGCGGCAGAACCGATTAAAACGTTGGGCGAACACGCGATAGCGATTGCCGGTAAATGATAAATGGAAAATGGAAAATCACACATGAAAACCTCGTTCGGTTTTACACTTATCGCGACAAACGTCAATGTTTTAATTTTGAGTTTTCAGGCACGAGCGGACCGACGCCAGCGAAAATCAATGTTTCAACGGCGTTATAGCATGTGTGCAGCGCTGTGTGTGTGTGTTTGTGTTTTAATGACATTTTCCCATCGCGGCATCCTTCGTTTCTGTTTCCTCGACGAACCTAACAGATGTGAGAGGAGCCGCCCCTGTGGCTGGTCGTCGCCGTCATCATCACGCACACACATATAACACAGCACACAGATAGGATAAATAAATTATAAATGTGTACGGCTCCCCCCCCCCCCGGCCACAGACTTCAGACATGTGTTTCCTAGGTCGACCTCTGAGAACAACCGTATGCGAACGAGAAACCAACGGAGAAAAGTAGAGAAGAGAAAAAAAATACAATCATGTATATACATAAAAAAAAACTGGAAATTATACGGACGTCACCGATCGTTTGTACGTCTGAAGAATTACATAGCGGTTTTTATACACAATAATAGTATTGTAGGTACAATGTTTTTCCAATATTAAACAAAAAAAACATACACAATAATAAATATGTATATTGTACTCATATTATTATTAGTACATCTGCTTTACGGTGTTTAATTTGTTGTTCAGTCTGTAAATAGAAATAAATTAAGCAATATATTATGATTACACGACATCAATGATAATTATAATTTACACAACAATGCAACGCGGGAGGGACAGTCAAATGGTATTCATTTTGGAAAAAAACAAATAAATGAATAAAAGAAACAGCCAATAATTCACCTCGTCGTCGATGAAAAGAAGTTGTCAATTTTTTTTTTTCTAAGTGGACAAAAACTTTGTTTTCGGGGCGACCCTTTATTTAGTTTTCGTGTAACGAGACACAATCGTAAAATAATATGCATTTTATTTCAGTGTTGTTGTCTTCCATTAAAAAAACGTTAATTTACACTTTTGTACATCTCTACGGTTTAACAAACGGGCACAAGGTCCGTTTCGGTCAAAACTTATAACACACAGCCGCCGTCAATTAGAGGTTTTTGTTCGGCCATCCGAACAAAATCCTAATTATCGCATCTGGTGTGCTAAATCGGGAGGAGGAGAGAGAGTGAACTTTTTAATTGCAAAAAGTTCTCCCCGAAACAAGAATGAGCTTTCGTTTTTTTCTTCTTTAAAAATGTAAAAAAAAAAAAGCGTCGTCCGTCGTTGATTAAACGGCGCGCGGCGGCAATGATGTCGCAACCGAGGCTCCAAGTGTCGACAGATAAAATTCATTGGATTTCAACCAAAATAGCAATGGCGGATTAACGTTAATTTTTTTCAAACGGACATTGGTCTACTCCACAGTGCCGTCCCTAGATTGTTTAAAATCGAACACGACAATAATGTATTATCAATTAAAATCTTAAAAAAACACCCGACCGAAAATCACGCGTAATACACAACAACGACGTGTTGCTATGCGCGATGACTTGCTTGGATGATAAAAATATAAGGAGAAAAAAATACTGAAATTAAACGGTACGATTACGCGATAATTACTATTCAACTGCAATTGTAATGATTGAAAACCATAATAACACGCATAGTGATTTAAGCAGGCCAAATACACACGACCCATATGCGGTTGCACAAGCCCCGCGCTAAGTTGCGATACTGAACGTCGTCAGAATGCGTTTTGTACACACATAATATATCGTTACAGTACAATACAGTACAGGATATACATACATACATCCAGTACGGAACACGTGTTCAATATTATTATTTCAATCTGGCTGGGGTCCATCTCTGGTCCGAAACGTTGTAAATTCTGCTCAATGATAATAATAATAAGGCACTTAAAACGAATGCCGTTAATCGTATGGTCGAGCACATAAAATAATAAAAATTACCCAATAAATCAGCTAATTGTAATTTGACAAATTGGTACGCGATCGTGCCAAATACAGGCGTACTTGGGTACAACAATGTAGGGAAAAAAACTTAGTCGTTTAACGGACGGAAAATACGCTAAGCTTGGAGGGCACACATGGACTATCATTTTTCTGTAATAATAATAAGTATTATTTTTATTATGGTAGATCCTAGATCCTAGATCCCATCCTTTGAACCCATGTGCAGCAATCCGGACTGTAAATGATGCGAATACAACATACGATACAATCTTAATAATATTATAATCTCATAAAAACGCTTGGTGAGATTTTCAACGATTGCAATACCAACAAATTTTTGTAAGAAAATATAATTCCATTGTAAATTCTACTAGCAAAAAACATTATAAAAACAACGATGTTGTCCCGACGTCTAATGAATCGATACTACATTTAATTAAGTATCATAATGTTTTTATATGTAATGTATGGTTTTATTTTTGACACATAATGTACGAGGTTAAAAAAAAACTTTTATCGAAGCGAGAGTGGAACGGTTTGCAAGTCATCCAAAATTCACTATATAGAAGTGAACGCAAAATAATCCTCTACAATTTCGGATTTTGAAAATAATGCAACCGAAACGGTAAGTTCAAATATGTTCCAATTGCCTGATCTAAGATAAACTTGTGAGTTATTCTCGATGACAAATTTTGATAAACGGAAACGACAACTTCGAATTATATCATTATCAAGCCAAAAAAATAAACGTTTTTCCCTATCACTACAGTTGTAATACTAAGTACCGAGTTAAATATTCAGCTTCTATCTTGCATTTGTTAAGCTCTGCGGGTGGAAACTAGGTGCTCCAGTTGGAAATACTCTGTGACCCTCCCCCCCCCTCAGTCATGCATCGAAATTTCAACCGAACGAGGGCGTTTTTCCAGACACTGCTCTTTTATAGAACATTCCGAATAGCAATTGACGTGTACCCTAGGGACCGACACTAAAAACAAAAACCTACTGGGCGTTATCTGCCGGTGCACGCTACCAGGACCACGCCAAACCAGATATCATAACAATACGGTTTTCTAGATTAATTAGTCGATGCCGCCGTCGTTTAATTACACTAATGCAGCAGCGTCAGAGGCGTAGGCGACATTACACAGTCGTCACGTCACGTCAAAGGGTAAGCGGACGATAATACACATTTTATCATGTACTCTATATGGTTTTTTTTAGCATTATTTATTAACCGCCTTATTGTCACGTGTACTAGCGTTCGCATTATTTTCACGTCACATCGCGTGTAACTCTTGACCGACCGTTCTCCAGTCATTCGTTAATTTATGAAAACTACCGAAACAACATACAAAAAATATATCACTCCCGGTCTCCTTTGCTTTCCCCGCAGTCCTACTATTGGAAAAATATTTTCTAAAAAATTACACTACCTTCGGCCAGTATAATATCAATATTATTATAACAATCCACAAATACATATTATATTGACCCATTAGATTTGTATACTACTGTTGTTAACGACTACCTGCGCGCGCCTTTTGCTAGACAACACTTGTTGTGTGCATTGGCCGCGCTTTACACTATTATGTATGTACATTTATTATAATTTCGGTACGTGTAACTTGAAACCGACCCTGCCACCGTGTAAGCATGTGCGTCACAACCGTGGTATTTTCTAAACGATAGAGGTGTTGTACACGGTATACCTCACAACCATCGGCCATCGCCCAAGGGTACCTACATCGCATTAGGCACACATCTAGGTACAAAATGTGTATTAAAAATATTATTATGATCGTTTGGAAATCACTTCGAGAAAGCGATAAAAACGCGATATATTCGTCCGGATGGTAATTAGGAGTTGTAATTGTGTATAAATAAATTGTTCGCGCATTCGGACAATGCTAGTTGGAATGCAACGGTTGGCCGTAAGTGATTTCAACTTCTACAACAAAGACTGGAAAACACAAAAGAATAGTAATGTTTTATGTACAACGCGGAAAAGACGGCCGTGTTCCGAGTCCGTGCAATGTTAAAACATCAGTCAACACCACTATACAGCGGTCGACTCAAAGTCAATCAATATATATATTTATATAATGTATAATAATAAATATTTTAATGTCGTTTCTCCACGATAGAGGGAAGAGAGATAATGGCGGAGAAAAGAAAAAGATATCAGCAGATAGTGTCAGCGGTACGTAACGAAACTAGTTTTGGCATCGAGTTTATCAGTGCACAATTTTATTAACCTTTGCGCCATTATCATCCCGAAGAAAAAAGATAACAATATTATTTATTAATAAATAGTGACACAGACCCTAACTACCGTCATTAAAAGCAGCCAAAACAGAAACGGTATAATATTCGCACCCAACACAATGCCAGAAGATCCCAAGGCGAGATAACATGACATTGTGTATCGCTTACAAACGCTTGTACAGTGCTAAGTAATGATAATAATATTTTGTTCTATTGTAACCTAACCCTAGTAGAGCGATTTTAGGTGTGTCGGTGGCGTGCGGTGTTAAGGGGGTGCGCCCGGACATTTCGGGGGGGGTGGAACAGTTGTCCGTCCAAATGATGTAAGAAAAGCAACAAAATCGGACTTTTCCAAAATATTTATAATAAGGAAAAACAATAGAAAAACGTTTGTTATATTAATATAGTACTCACCGGATAGTAAAGCCCCTGATGGGGGATCAAATAGGGCGTTGCAGCCCACAGCTTGAGGCCGTTTTCTAAAACCGTGTTTATCACAAAATTATAAGGGCGTACGACCGACGGCCTAACATGCTACGCGAAGGTGTCGTGTCGATGATACTGGCGTTTCGTTTTTGTATTTGATTTAATTACACAAAAACTTAATTTTACACACGCGCACAAAAAAAAAACGAGCGGCGACCAACGCGCACTTCCGTTGGTAAACGAAAAAAAAAAATATATATATATGTATTAAAATAACTTAAGAAATTTTATCGTTTTGTTTTCGGCCGCGGGCCGTTTGGAAATTGGGAATTTAACTAAAATACGAATAATAACAAAACTAAACTATATCATAAAAAACAAACGTAACGGGTAACGATCGAATGGAAAACTAACGAAACATACACTGAAGAATATACTATATTAATATTATTTTCGTTAACGGCGTACAGAGCGAGCCAGACGCTCAGTGGCACAAACACAATCTAACGAATGGATTGGACACGGGAAGAAACGCCGTACGGTCGCCTGCCGCGCTGCTCTCTTCCACCTCTCCATACACCACACCGACACCGTAACCATAGCCGCCGTCGACGGGACGCGAGAGAAGCCGACGGGTCTCCCCACCGCTCGGCTTACCACCCGAGGCATACACACACACACACACACATACGCAGCAACGCAAATCGATGAAACAGATCGGGCCCCCCCACCAGACGACAACGGCGGCGGCAGCCTTTGTTTCGCCGACCTTCCGACCAAACCACGGGACGACCCCCGGGTCCGAAATACCACAGACTCGTCCTTTTTATCACCGCTCCGTGTTCGCCAAGAGACGAGCGCTTTATTAATATTAATATTAATATTACTATTACTACTATTATCATGATCATCGCCATTATTTATTACTTTATAATGTACGAATATTAAATTATTTGTACAATGTCGGGTACGTGTATAATGTTCGACAACCCGTCGCGGTGGTTTTTAATGGAAAATTTAAACATTTAAATTCTCCGCCGTTGGCACGTCCCCCGCGGCTTTGCCTCCTAAACGCGACATCATCCAAAGTTCGGACGGGCGTACTTTAACTAATCAACTAATAATATTTGCGATGCCGTTATAATATATTAAAACACTATTATAGCAACTACTACTCCGAAACGAGATTCCAACCAACGACTGCTTTATTTCTCACGATAACTTTTGGGTCAATATTTCTTAACTAAGCGAAAATAACCTTTCTTAAATAATTTTTCTTATACGTCTGTCACCCGCATTCTGTGATATTTCATAACTTAAAAATAATTGAACTTTTAAAATAACTATGTTTTACACCACATAAACACATTTAAAGACAGCAAAAACTATGTATCGCCGTCAAAATTAACGGTGCTTTTATTTAAATACATTTTCGTCAGAATTGCCGGTACAATAAGCATGGTAGTAGAAGTAATGGGTACACCGTAACCGTATAATCATTTTAAAAATATTTCTTGATGCTCCTCACAGTCCGTAAGTCACAAAAAAATAAATGCACGCCATTGCAGCTGACAGGTCACTCGAGTAAATCTGCAGAAAAATTCTCACAGACATATTAAACATAAGTTTAAGACACCTTATCCGTCTTGGGCTGTACGTTCGATCGATACGTTGCCGTAGTAACCAATATTAATATATTTTACAATTTTATTCGTTTTGTTTATTCGCTACTAGGGAGTAGGGATAAATGCTATCTATAAATTCTAAAAATAAAAGTAATGTATCTATTGTTAGGAAAATAAGTAAACTAAATATTTTAGCAATTCAGCTTTTTAGACTTGCAAATTAAACCCTCTTTTTCTTGAATGACTTTTTATGTAAAATAACTTCATAAAAGCGAATAAATAAACCATATTGGATAACTGGATGTCTTATTCACAAGAATAGACAGTATTTTTCTATTTGTACAAATGTCATGTTTTACTATAAAACAAATGTTTTTCAATTTTAATACTTTTTAATTAAACAAAAAATAGATCTATTAACTATATAAATCTAATATTTAGTAAAACTTAATCTTAAGACTAGATATATAACATTTTTTTTAATGAAAAAAATGTAAATTAAGTAGTATAATATACATTTTGGTCAGTTTTAATCTTAATAATTTTCTGTAAAATTATTTTACAATTTCGTGTTAAAATAATTTCTACTAATCTGTTTGCCATTTATTAGATTTTTGATAAAAAAAAATAGTAGGCACAGTTTTTATTAGCCAAGGCCAATAATATGACTAAAATGGAAACACCATTGAGAAACATTTCACAATAAATATTCTCTTGGACTTCTTGTAGTACTAATTTTAGTCATTAGTTACTACTATTCCACCTATAATTGTCATAAAATTACTTTTTTTCCTCGTTAAATTAAAGAAATAACATTACATTATCCGTGTCTAATAAAGAAGAGTGAAATAAAAGCAATAAAAGTTTTTGACCATACATTAATTTGTAAACATTTTAATATTTTAAGATCACATTAAAAATGTAATTTCCATTTTTCCCTCCTGTAAAAAATTGATTGATCCACTATTTATGACAAGTCGCTCGTTAACGTGATAACAGAAACCCGAAGTTAAACTTTCTAAAAACACATTACCTATGCTGCAATATTCTCTAGTAAAAATTAAAAAAATATATAATTTCATTGAATTTGATCTTATTAGTTGGTAAATTTTGTAGGAAGACATAAAATACCAAATAAGGTGCCCCGAATGAAAACCAAATAATAATACCAAAAATACAAATTCCTACCCGTTAACTAGCAGATAAATTTGTCATTGTTTTTCATTTTTATAACAGGTTATAACGCTAATTATGTATGCATAGCCAAATAGTTATTTTTTAAGCAAGGCACGCTATATTTTTTTACGCCACTCGTGTGATACTGTTCGTCAAACAAATTCCAAAAACAATTTTGCTGTTTTAAAACATCGAATATTGTGACACTCAGATCTTGGTTTTTTCCCATATAATAATTTATATCCATGCAAGGCAACATTGCCACTAAACAAAATCTAAATAATACAATTTAACTGATTAAATTATTTTTAAGATTTTTTTATTTTGATCGTCTGTAGTAGTTCATATCGAATCAGGATTTTTTTAAACCAGTTAAACAGGTAAACTATTAAAATACGTCTGAATTATAAGGAAAATTATGTATATTCTAATTATAAAGTAAAAGAAACAAAATACAGCTCGTTTTCAGAACATTTGCGGTCATTAAAAATAGGATTACATTTGATGTTAAACATTTTTTAAATACACACTTTTTACCCTAATACCACAAATTGTGAATTTTTACTAAAAAACTGTCAACATCTTAAAGTATATGGCACACCGTTTGATTAACCTATTGATGAACTTAATACACGACCTCGAAAATAATGACCCTATTTAAAATGCAAGATGAATACTAATTTATACAGACTAAACCACTAAAAAACAGGTACCTTCACGTAACTTTACCCTTCATTACCCTTAACATTTGAATATTAATTAATTATCAAATTATATCGCTTCGCTTTTATATATATATATATATACATATTTAAGAATCCAATATCTCAATAAAATAATTATATTTATATTTAGTCAAATATTATAAATGTACTCCATCATACACATAACGAGGCACATGCGCTTTCTATCGATATTCAATATTTCTACCATCGACCGATACGGAATTCCTGAAGACCTTTGAACTGCCCAAATCCTATATGCTTCGTCACCTCTAAGTCTCGACCCCACTGAGCTGGCTTTTTAATATTAATGTGAAAACAAATTGTAAAAAAATGCAAAAATTAACCTGTTGGCCATAGCGTTTCCGATCTGTGTCAGAATTGTTACTAAGGAAATCAGAGTCCTAGTCAACAGCTATGTAGACCGGTTGCCTAACGGCTCAGGTTGTTTAATTTGATTGATTTTAATCTATGTAAAGAAATTAAATGATATTTTGTACATTTCTAAAATCCAATAATATGTACCCAAAAAGTAAAATCGGAACACTGATATTTTCAAAATGTTTTACTCAAGAATAATATTTAATTTTATTATTATTTATTACATTTTAAACATATTTAAATTGTTATATTTTTTTACAAAATATTTATGTGATATTTTAGATAAATAATGTTTTGTTCTAAGATGATTGTTAATATTTCTTTGACCACACTGTATAACAGGATGATTATTTTTTTCATGTACTTTTCTGGTGCAAATCGAGCGATTCTTTATCTAATATTCGGGTCTCTTCTACCGACATGGCACTATGACACTCAAACCATATTTAATCAAATAAATAATTGTCGAAAAAAGGGAAATTAAAAGGAACTACATTAATAACTACATTATTATTATTCAACCTTCGCAGAAAAACCGTGTTTACAAACAACTGGTTTTCAACACAATCCAACGTACAAAATACACGACGTACTTTACACACGATTATTAATTATTGATGCAGTAATATTATTTCTACATAATATGTAATTAAGTTGCGATTTAGGGCCTAGGGGTCACGGTGGCTGCTCCGGCACCTCTCTGTATTACTAGACAGGTCAAGTTTTTATCGAGACATTTGTTTATATTCTTAAACTGGTTCCGATTTTTATCATAATCCATTACACATCTAGTCACCAGATTAACAACAAAAGTAAAAACTTGAAACAAAAACACTGAAAAATATTATACACCTAATAAAAATAATTTACTACAATTAGAAAAGTAAGAAAAGTTCTTTTAATTTTGTATGTGCAGAGGAAGCATGACGTGTAAGCGCTGTTGTATCAAACATTTTAATAATTTATTAGCTAATCATGATTAGTCGAGTTTCTTAGCTGAATATACCCGACATTTTCTTTAAACTATTTCTAGACCCACGCATCTGGTATGAATATTTTATAATTCAAATATAGTTCAATGGATGCTCAAATAACGATAATTATGGCAAATAAAATGTCTGGTATATTTTTTGTTTGGATGCAGATCGAAGGGATAAACCATGGACTAAGACTTAACCTTTCCTCATTTTATTAGTTTAAAAATACTAAACCCTAATAACTTTCATAAGAACTAACGATGCCTCGAAATAAAAATACAGTTGACAAAAAAAAAAAACATTCATTATTTTGCTTTCAGTATTATGTCAAGTTTTCTTTAACAGAGAGTACCTATGACAATATCAGAAGTATCAGATCCTACTTGTAAGCTCTAGATTTGCGTATGTTTACGTTTAACAAAACCAATAAGGCACATCCTTTTAGGAATTCTCTTATTAAAAAAATTAAAAAATTCCAATTCTGATAAGTTATACCAGGGTCCAGATATTATGTTGATGGGTACGTGAGGTAAAAACTAGAAAGCATAGAAAATCGCTAAATTAACGGCAAGCGTCGTCCTTAACTGACCGTTAATAAAAACTATTCATTGTTCATTGTCCATACTTCATTGGACTTGTTTCAGGGAAACTTAAGCCGCATAAGCTCTACGCCTAGTA